CTGCTGAAGAAGGAGACTTTTGGGCAGAGTCAAGTATGTTGGGCCTTAAGATCACCTACTTTGCACTGATGGATGGAAAGGTGTATGACATCACAGGTACACGTCTGTTCTGTAGAAATACAGGCTCATATATGCTTATATGATGTATTAGCTAATTCTTTCTCATGTGTGCAGAGTGGGCTGGATGTCAGCGAGTAGGAATCTCCCCAGATACTCATAGAGTCCCCTATCACATCTCATTTGGTTCTCGGATACCAGGCACCAGTGGGCGACAGAGGTAGGTGGTATTTCTTTCAATCATCTATCTACTATTCTAGTTCTGAATATGGTGCTTAGGACACCTAGATGTCTCACCCTTTAAGAAGTTTGCTAACTGACTCAATATATCTTTAACATAGTTACCTATGTTTGACTTTGAATCTCTCTTGCCTCATTATTCTTCTTGTTTTCCTTTCAGAGCCACTCCAGATGCCCCTCCTGCTGACCTTCAGGATTTCTTGAACCGGATCTTTCAAGTACCCCCGGGACAGATGTCCAATGGGAACTTCTTTGCAGCTCACCCTGGCCCTGGGGCCACCGGAGCTTCCAAGCCCAACAGCACAGTACCCAAGGGAGAAGCCAAACCGAAGAGGCGGAAGAAAGTGAGGAGGCCCTTCCAACGTTGACACTTGTTTTCTTCTTTCCTCAAATCAATGTCAGGGAGTCAAAAGGGCTGTGTACAGCATAGGATGGAGTTTGATTTATTTTTAAATATTTTAAAAAGGGAAACTTTTAAGCTCAAATTGTTCACTCAGTACTTGTAGGAAGCCCCAGAACCACTCTCCCTCCTCCACCGGTACCCAGGAACTGAATCTGGTCTTCTGACAATACCAAAGAAATAGGGGGTGGCTACAGCAAAGAACCTAGGGCATGGACCTGGGCTGGACAATATCTCCCAGAGGAGTGTGGGAACTGGGTATTTCCCTAAGGTCTGTATGCCTTTGTCTTGTCTTTTGCTTCTATAGCAGATGACTTTCCCTCCTCTTTTTAAACTATGAGTCTATCTTATTTCTTGACCCAGTTCAGGGCTCCCTCCTGAATATACTAGTTAGCCCAATACTAGTTAAAAGACAGAACAAGAAAGCATGTAGCTCTAATTATAGGAGATAGAGTTCAGAGAGTGGGAACTCTGAATTTTTTCTGTCACCTTGTGGGTAACTGTCCAACTTCATGCTTGTTTCTGCAGGGATGGCCAAACTAATAATTTAAAAAAAATCAGACTCATGCCCTCTGCCCTTGGGTGAGGGGAAAGAATAAAGGGGTTCCTGGTAGGCCCCTTATGATCCAAGGGTTTGTATTTTTTTAAGTTTGTTGATATTTGTATGTACATAACTATTTAAAGCCAGGGGATTATCTTTCTATAAATATGTAACTGGCAACCTGTTTCTTCCCTCTCTTCTTTGCCTTTATAGATACTGTCCTTTTTCTTATTTGAGAATCCTTTCTCTAAGTGTTAGCTGGAAGTGAAGGGCACCTCCTGAACCGAAGGAGAGGGGTAAAAAGTACCTTAGAAAAGTTTTGTGTATTAAGTCACTGTTCCATCTTTCTTCCCCAGCCTTATGAGGACATCTCCCTACCCTCCCTGCTGACCAAAGAGTAGCCATATCTGAAAAAAAAATGACCTTTATTATGAGGGAAATACACAGCAAAACAGAGCTGGAGGTAGTGGGGGTGGAAGACATGGGAAAACCAAACAAGCTGCCCAAACATGGCCTCCTGTGGAGGAGAGTGATTTGTCCCTTACCTCATCTGCCTTTCCCGATTCAAAGAAGCCTGCTCCTAGCAGGGCTACTCCCAGGGAGCCCCATTTTCCAATCAGTTCTCATCCTGGGAGTTTGGGAACAGTTGTATAGTTCTCAGGCTTCCCAGAAAAGGAAGACAGTTTGGAGAAGGGAAAGATGTTACAGCCTTTTGTTCCAATGTTGTCCCCAGTCCCATCTCTCAGTATTTATTGATGCCAAAGAGACGAACCCCATGGAATTGGGGCAATTTAGGCAGCAGTACGCTGAGCAATGAGGTTGTGTTGATGAGGAAGTGAGCAGCATCATACTTGGTGTAGAAGCTGGCTAGGAGGTAGCTGGGAAGAAAAGAAATAAGTTGAGTGAAGCTGGCCTTTCCAGTGACTTTCTCTTCTATTTTAAATGACCAGTTTTATTGCATGTAGTTCTAGGATATTTGAAAATATCCTAGGGGTCAGGGAGATAATCAGCACCTTTAACTGGAGATTTGTACGTTAGTTTGTGTGTTTAATAATTGTTAATGACATGTGGCAAATGACAGCTGAAGCAGTTTCAGCCTGTATCACTGTTAAGTCCTCTGTGCTTCCACTCCCCAAGGCCAGTTTTCACAGATTTACATCAGTTCTGCCTTAATTTATTCACATCTTTTGGAAATGTAAAATCATTTGGTTTTACTTGGTTTTCTCAGTCCTATCTCCGTTCTCCTATCACCAAGGAGGCAGCAAGGAATGCTTGATTATTGCTTTCTACTTTTTACTGCACTCCCTAGATTTAGACCTAGTATACCATAATATCTTTAAAGGGTCCAAGTGATTAGTCTGCTTTTTTTAAGTTCCTCTGTGGGCCTCTGTACCTGGCATTTGGAGCATTTCCCATATCTCCCACTGGACTCACAGTACAATAGGAGAGATGCTGAGGAATTTGCGGGAAGAGGTAAATTGGAGCCCGTAGTCCATCTGTTCCCAGTGTGTCAGTAGCCGAGCCTTTCCTTGGTCAGGGGTCTCAAAGGGTGTCCCTTTCACTGTATGTAGGAAGACATACATGGCCTGGGAGGAGAAAAGGGAACAGTTTGAAGGGGCAGCATATGGTCCTTTAGCCCAAAGATTAAGATCCCCAAAGGAAGGCATATCCCCAAATAATTGGGGATTTTATTTTGTTTGGGAAAGGCCTGGGGTGGGTAAAGGGTATGGTTTAGCGCTCACCAAGTTATGGATGACGTTGGTCAGGGTCCAGACAACAGGAATGCTGAAGAAGGGGATGCTGAGTAGCACCACATGCAGGAGTCCTACCAAGATGATGTAGGCCAGCCAGATGCCCCGGCTATTCATCACTCGAGTGTTGGGGTTTACTTCGCTGTGTGCTACTCCCACATTCATCCTACCACAGTGGCGGATCAGGCAGGAGTCCACCTCTATTTCCTCTCAACCCCTCTTTGATTTTTTTGCCCCCACATTGTCTCCTGAATAACTCAAATCCCCTGCACTGTATTGGGAATGAAAGAACATCCCCATCATGCACAAAGAAAAACTGAAGACTTGGGAGGTAAAATACTTAAAAGGCAAGAAGAGTACTCTCTACATCTTAGAAACACATGGTAATCTTTGATTCTTATACTTCAGCTTGAAGGAGTAAATCTAGGCTTGGGCACCTACTTAAAGGAGCAAGAAACAGAAGTATTTCACTTTATTTTCCTGAAGTTGTTAATAAGGAAGCCTGAAGAGGTTACATACACCCGTAACTCCAGAAGCAGGTAATGGGAAACAAGGATTCACTAAGGAGGCAGGAGTGGGTAAAGCTACTTTCAATCCTCACCTTTACTCTGGGGCTTGCCCGTCCTCTCATCCCCGTGGCATGTAAACAGCCCTCTCAAGCGTGGGGCATTGGGAGAATTTACCCAGGGTTTTGGGTTGAGCTAGGAAGGAACCTAAGTTTGGCGCCTCCAGTTGGAGCCCTAACTTCAAATCCAAAAACGGCTCAGATCGTCTGAACTTGGCTCCTTAAAATCGTGCTAAAGTTGATGTCCAGTTAGGAAGCAGCTCTTGCCCGCCCCTCTCTACCTAAAATTCCTTAAACCCTAATACTGAACCTGCCCGATGCTTTTCCCAGATTCCATCTCTCGTACGTCGGCTCCCCTCTGGTTCTCTCTCGGTATTTAACTCACCGCCGCTCCAACCCCCGCCGCCGCTTTCGCCTCCCATCACGGTTTGCCTCCCACCATTTTTGCCGAGCACCCCTTTCCAGTCTCCCGTAAACCCCTACCTGCAAGCTTCAGAAGCTGATAGGCGAGGGGCGCAGCTCTCCTTTCTATACCTGTGGTCTCCAGGAAGCAGCCGCCCACGCTTCTCTGCTGTCTCCCTATTGGTGGAACAGGGTTAGCGCTGCCGCCATCCATTGGCTGGGGGTCTGCAATGAAGACGCCCAATTGGTCGCCGTTTCCGTCGTTTGGAAGGCGCAGAACACGCCCCTCTCCCTGCCCCACCTTTTGAGAGGTGGGGAAAGCTGGCTGGAGGAGTGAGAGGACGGCAGCTATTGAATAATGGGAAGAGTTGATGGTGTGAGGTGATAGTAAGAGTGGCGGTGATTGGTTGACCCTGCGCCTGGGCGGGAGCTGCTGGGAGCGGAGGCTGCGAGTGGGGGCCTAGTGGAGTGGAGGGGTAACAAGATGGCGGCAGAGACGGTGGAGCTGCATAAACTGAAGGTACTGTGAAGGAGGGCAGGGGCTGACTTAGACTTTTTCTGGGGACTGAATTCTGGGAGTGGCTTGTGCCCTTTCCGAAGTGCTCTTCTTGTAGGCTTTTCCACTTTTTACCGGCTCCCTCCGTAGTTCTTCCTCACTACGCCTGTTCTAATTTCCCATGCTCCTCACGGTTTTATTGTATCTGTATTGTTTTTCGGCTCTCTTCTTCATTGTTGTATCGTCCGTCATTTCTCCACCGGGTTGTGTAAGTGCCTACAACCAGTTCTCTCCTCATTTCTCGTCAGAGCTGCATTACGTCAGTGGTCCCACCTCTCTGCCCCATGCCGCACCGTGCACCCCTTTTACTTCCCTGGGTTGATGCTTTCCTCTCCATTGTCCCAAGCTGATTCCCGTTAGGATATGTTGGCATCTTTATGTATTTCTACCTATTTAGGTCTCAAACGTGATCCAGAAAATCCACTTTTTTTTTAGATGGGGTTACGCCCCCGCCCCCGGGCGCGGTGCGGCTTTGAAACCTGAGGAGGGGCTTAGAATACTGGTCTCCCCATAGAAACCTGAGGTTTAGGAGATCTTTAGAGTTAGAAAAGGCACAGGTAGCTCGGATTTAAAAGTTTCTCTCACGTGGTTCTCCCCCAGCCAGCAACCCCCCTCCCCGCTCCCTACCTACTGCCAGACAGACAGCTCGCTTGTAGCTGTAATGTTTTGGAAAAACATTTTCAAGGTTAGGGTTATCTCTGTCCCATTTCATGTCGCGGATGGACCTTGCATCTCTGGGTATGAACACTTGGTGACACTCTCAATCACCTGTTCTAAGATGTGCCTTGGCAATCTTGGTAGTCTTCTCGCATTTATTTCCCTGGAAGAAAAGAGTAATTTCTTTTAGGGTAAATTATGAGAATATCTTGATTAGTTGACCGTTTGTGGTTTCGAAAGTAGTTTTTCCATTAAATGTTTTGGTCACATCATCCTGGGAATCTTGGACAAACCAGACTGACTTAGCTGAAAACTAATCCTTTAAACCCTGTTTAGCTTATAAACAAACAAAAGTAAGGAGAGGAAGGGTAGGGAGAGGTCCTTTTAGTCACTTTTTAGTTGACATTGATTAGCTTTTTTTGTGAAAGCTGATAGATTTCTTACTCTTGGATTCTGAACTGTACTAGTGGGTCTTTGTGTTATTCTGGAGTTACTGTTAACTTAGTACTGAAGTGTGTAGATTATATCTGTGGTTTCATATTCCCACAAGTAAGACAAATTGAGCAACCACTTCCATTATATGTACACTTATGTAAATTGTGATACCATACTGTTATGTATGTTATAAAACACACAGAAAAGGAATGTTTCAGTAAATGAGATAAAAGGAAATATGAATAGAAGGTAAAATATTTTCTTCCTATTAGTCCCATTTTGAAACCCCTGGAGTAAGGTACCAGTCTTGTGACTTACCTTCATGGATTTGGTTTTGTGTATGGAGTTCCTCTTTCCATAGAAGCTGTATTTGTTTGGACCATATTAACTTTTATTTTGATTGGATAATGTCATCTGACCTGATTTCAGGTATTAAGAGATCATGAGGCACCCCTGACAGCCTAAAAAGTAAAAAGGATTCACTCTTTTAATCACATTTGCTTGTCTTTGCTTTTTCTCTAGAGCACTTCTTAACCTTTTGGAGGTCACAGATATCTTTGAAACTCTGATGAAAGGTATGGACCCTCTCCCCAGAAAAAGGCATGTACACATACTTTGCATGCAATTTGAGGGGCTTCATAAAATTACCATGTAGCCCTGAGGAGTCCATGGACCTCTGGTTAAGAACCCATGCCTTAATTCTGACTTCTAGGACAGTTAATGTTTGGTTCCACTGTTGATCTTGATGGAGTAATCCTGACTGGGGTTGACTTAGGGCAGTGGTCGGCAAATTCATTAGTCAGCAGAGCCAAATATCAACAGTACAACGGTTGAAATTTCTTTTGAGAGCCAAATTTTTTAAACTTAAACTATATAGGTGGGTACATTGTTATTAACTTAATTAGGGTACTCCTAAGGCTTAGGAAGAGCCACACTCAAGGGGCCAAAGAGCCGCATGTGGCTCACGAGCCACAGTTTGCCAACCACGGACTTAGGGTTATATCTTTTTTCTTAGTCTTTCCATTTTTATAAAGAAATTTTGATGGGGCCCTCAGAGGAAAGGAACAAGCTTTAATATAGGAAGGAAGAATATCTGGATTGGTAAGTAAGTCCTCATCACCTGCAGAATTCTAAAGATTTTGTAGAAATGTCTTCTAAATTCAGTTATAGAGACTGAATTGTGTCTGAATTGTGGGTGAAAATGCTTTGAACTGTAATAGTACCAAATTTCCAATCAATGGTGAGAAAAGAGACTACTGCAGAGGAGAGAATGAGAAGGGTCTACAAGTGCAAGAGTGTTGAAAAAGTCAGATGTCATTTTGAAGCATAAAGTGCATATATGTTAGTGGCTTAAGATTGTAAAGGGAACTAGATGAATTGTGTGACTACAGTGGTAGATTGAAGTGATAATGAAAAGGGCCTTTTAAGTTGCATATGGCATTTGGTTTTTGTTATGAAGGCAGAAAGTGGGGAGCCTTTGGAAATTGTTAGAGAAGGAACTGATGTGATCCATGTGTCTTCTTTTGGCAGTGTGGAGGATGAGATCTGAGAGGGAGAAATTTCACCAGTTACATTTTTATTATTCACTCCCCTGCTAAAACCTTTTACCTTTATACCTGCCAATTTTCCAGCTTAGTTTCTCACACTCCAACCACAGTGGCTTTATTTTATTTCATTCCTCAGAATGAACATGTTCATTAAGTGCTAACATTTAACAATAGCATTTACTATGTGGCAATCACTGGTCAAAGCTGTTTACATACATTAACTGATTTAATTTGCAGGATAACTCTGGAAAGAAAATGCCTCTGTTATCCCCATTAAAAAAAAAAATGTTTTTATTTACTTGAGAGAGAGAGAAAGGGTGAGGAAAAGAGAAACATCCACGGCTGCCTCCTGCAGGCCTCCTCACTGAGGATCGAGCCTACAACTCTGGCACGTGCCCTGATCAGGAATCGAACCAGGAACCTCTTGGTGAGGTGTGTGGGACAACGCTCAACCAACTGAACCACATCTGCCAGGGCTATTTTAAAATCAGGAAAACGTGGAAGCTTAGAGAAATTAACTGAATAACTTGCCCTAGGTTCCACAGCTAATGAATGGTGCATCAAATCCAGGCAGTTTATCTCCAAAATTTATGTTCTTAATCGCTGTGCACCACTACCTCTCTTTACCTCAGAACCCAGAATCTTTACACATTCTTTTTGCTGTAGTGCTGCTGCCAATCCCTGTTCCCCATATCTTCATTTAATTAACTGTTAGTTGCCCTTCAGTAGTCAAACATCATTTATCCAAGGAACCCTTAGGTATAGGATAGGTTCTCTCTACCCACACATCAACAGACTACTTTTTAAATGCCTTTATAGGACTCTGTACTTTTTTAAAAAGTTAATCAGTTAAGTATTATGTATATGATCATTGATTTGTCTTGTTTCCTTACTAGGTTGTAAGCTTCATGTGGACAAAAACTCTATCCGTTTTGCTTATGACTATTTCCCTATACCTAAACTAATGGTTTACATGCAGGGGGTACCCAGTAACTATTTGTTAAGTGAATACATTTAGTAAGACCTGAAATAAGGTAGTGGCTACTTGGAAAGGAACAAATTTAAAAGAAATTTGGGATATAAAATTGTAAGTATTTATAGATCAGTTAGATGTGGGAGGAATGAAAGATGACTCCAAGATTTGAGTAGTGATAGCTTTAGTCTAGTTTGGGAAGAAGAGAAGAAGCCAGTTTTGTGCAATAGAGAAGATAAGTTCACTTTTGGGCTTAAGTGTCTTTGAGACATGCACTTGGAGATGTTTGGTAATCATAAAAAAACAAAATAAAGAAGAAAAAAAATACATGCTCTGGCTGAAGCTTCTAAGTGTTTAGAATGTCAGCCTTCGATTCCAGGTCAAGGGCATGTACCTGGGTTTTGGGTTTGCTCCCTGCTCCCAGTCGGGTGCGTGTGTGGTAGGCAACCAGTTGATGTGTCTCTCTCACATTGATCTTTCTCTCTTTCTCTCTCTCCCTCTCTTCCTCCCTCCCTCCCTCCCTTCCACTCTCTGAAAAGCAATGGAAAAAATACCTTCGTGTGAGGATTAACAAAAAAAAGGGGGGAGAGATGCCTGGTAATCAGTTGGAAATGTGAGTCTCCTGCTCAAGAGTTGAAAGCTGGTAATAAAGGTTTGGGACTTACTCAAAAAAATATTTATGGGTGCCTACCATATGCCAGCTAACATAGGTACTGGAGATAGAGTAATGAAGAAAGTAGACAAAATTCTTCCTGTTGTGGAGCTTATGTTTTGCTGGGGAAGGCACAATAAAGTAAAATGTATAGTGTCAAATAGTAGTAAAGTCTGTAGTGAAAAATAGGAAGGATAGGAAGTACAGTGGGAAGAAGGGTATTGTAATTTATAATAGGGTGACTAGGGAAGACCTCATTGAGAATATGATGTTTAAGCAGAGACTTGAAGGAGTGAGCCTTGTGCATAGTGTAAGAGGACCTTATAGGTGATTGTTAGGATCTGGCTTATACGCTTAGAGGTAGGAAACCAATAGAAGATTTCTGAAGAGAGGAATGACATAAATGTTCTGACTTAAATGTTCAAAAAATCACTGACTACCTTGTTAATAAACTATAATAAGATGCAGGGACTTTAGAATTTTTACAATAATCTGTATTTAAAAACACCAGAAGGGATTACATCCTAGATATATTTTCAAGGTAGAGCTGACTGGATTTGCCAGTGATTTGATTCTGGGAAGTGAGAAAACCTTTGATACAAGTGGGATGAGAAGGCCAAAGAAGGAATCTTAGTGAATATTGGTATTTACAGGTTGAGTGGAAGAAGAGCTAGCAAGGAGGCTGATGAGGAGAGGTAAGAGGAAAATGGAGAGTGATAGAGCATGTACATGAGAGCAATGTCAGCATCTTGGTAGTTAAGATTGGGCTTAAGTCAGAGAGACCTGAGCTCCACTATTTTCTAGCTATATGATTTTTTTAAAAATTATTAAATCTCTTTAAGCCTCATTTTCTTTATAAAATAAGATCATAATACTAACTACTTATGTTTGCTGTAAGGATTAAATGAGGAAATAATATTCAAAGTTTAGCCCTTAGTCCAGTGATGGCGAACCTTTTGAGCTCGGCGTGTCAGCATTTTGAAAAACCCTAACTTAACTCTGGTGCCGTGTCACATATAGAAATTTTTTGATATTTGCAACCATAGTAAAACAAAGACTTATATTTTTGATATTTATTTTATATATTTAACCCCTTCCCCAACAATTTTTTTGTTAAAAACGTTTCTTTTTCAGACTAATTTTTTTTATTTTGGTTCTATATAGTATTTTTGATGCTGGTTATGAAAACAGTTTGTAACTCGTCTTCCTATAAACCATATTTTTTTACCATATTTTCTTAGTATACTCGTCGACGACTGAAAAAGAACATTTTGTGAAAACGAGTTTACACGTTTCTGCCGGGGAAGGGGTTAAATGCCATTTAACAAAGAAAAATCAACCAAAAAAATGAGTTCACGTGTCACCTCTGACACGTGTGTCATAAGTTCGCCATCACTGCCTTAGTCTGTCATGTATTAGTACTTAAAAATAAATATGAGTTCCTGTTGTATGAAATGTTATAATGATATGAAATGTCTCTGCCCTCAAAGAGTTTACAAACCATATCAAGAGATAACAGATGAAAAAGATTTGAATTAAGATTAGTAAACAGAAGAAATCACAGGGCAATAAATGATTAATGGTAAATGTATTATTTGAGCTATTGATTGGTCTTTTCTCTGGAGGTTGATAGAATGGAAAATGCCTTATTGATACTGAAAAATATATAAATTAATCTTTGAATAGGTCATTTATGTACAAGTTCACATTCTAAAGGTACAAAAAGGTATATGGTAGTGTTTCCTTCCTACACTTGTCCTCAACAAGCTTCTTCTCAGTATTAATTTGTTTGTTTCTTGTCCAGGCATCTTGTGTATATACATCACATGGAATGGGGTGTGTGTATGTGCATTATTTTTTTTACATTAACATTAAAGTTAGTATCCTGTATAAAGTGTTCTATAACTTGGTTTTTAAAAGTAGTCTTATTGAGATACAATTCACATACCATACAGTTCACTCAATATCCTTTGCTTTTTAAAATGTTTTAAAGTCAATTGTATATAAAAATGGGTAAGATATGATATTATGAGTTATGTCCTAGTGTATGAGCAGAACTCACCATGTAATAACTAAAATAATACAATATGTAAAAACTAGAGGCCCGGTGCACAAAAATTTGTGCATTCAGGGGGGTCCCTCAGCCCAGCCTATGACACACACTGACCACCAGGGGGCAGACGCTCAATGCAGGAGCTGCCCTCTGGTGGTCAGGGCGTTCTCACATGGGAGGAACTCTGCTCAGCCACAAGTCAGGCTGACGGCTGCCAGTACAGCGGTGGTGGTGGGAGCCTCTCCTGGGAGCGGGCCTAAGCCAGCAGGTGGTCATCCCCTGAGGGGTCCCAGACTGCAAGAGGGCACAGTCCGGGCTGAGGGGACCCCCCCCCCCACCGAGTGCACAAATTTTTGT